GGTTTTCGGATGAGCCAACATTTATCTCACCGGCGGGCAACCCATCGACGCTAGACCTGTTCCTGACAAATATCGGCTTGTCCAAGCCGGTAGCCTTGAACGAACTCAGTTCCGACCACCAACCGGTGGTGTCTGAGCTGGGCTGCAACGTGGCTCCTGCTTCAAGCCTGCGCAAGGACTACCATCGCGTAAACTGGGCCCAGTTTGGACGCGTGGTAGACAGGCACATCATCGACAACCCGCCGCTTGACACCATGGAGGACATCGACCGAGCGTTGGAGGGACTCCACCAAGCCATAACCGTGGCTGACGAGGCGTGCATCCGACGAGTTCCTGTGAGGGGTAAGTTTATTGCTATTGATTCCCGCACCCAACTCTTAATTCGCCTGAGAAATGTTCGTAGACGCCAGTTTCAGAGGACTGGAGATCAAGCGATGAAACGTGAAATGGCCGATCTGAACAAGGAGATTGCTTCCAGAATGGTCTCACTCCGGAACGAAAGTTTCGGGCGGCTTGTCCAGAATCTGGACGACCGCTCCAGACCATTCTGGAAAGTTGCCAAGGTCTTAAAGACGCACCCTAAACCCATTCCGCCACTAAAAGATGAAAATGATGACGATCGGCTCATAATCACCCCTCAGGAGAAAGCAAATGCGATTGGTGAGCATATTGCCAAATCGCACTTGCTTGGCTCCAACATCCAAAGTCCGCTCGAAGTTCAGGTTGAGCAATGCGTACTCAACCTTGATTCCTCTCCTTGTGCCATCCCTCCGGAGGATAGAATCACAGTTGAACAGATTTGCTCAGCGCTGAAATGCACCAAAAACATGAAGGCCCCCGGGTTTGACGGAATATTCAACCTAGTGTTGAAAAATCTCAGCATGAAGGTTCACTCTCTGCTGGCTGCTGTCTTCAACAGATGCTTGGAACTGCACTACTTTCCAAGTATCTGGAAGACAGCGAAAATCATACCTATCCGCAAACCCGGGAAGGACCCAACGCTAGCTTCAAGCTACAGACCAATCAGCCTCCTTTCAGCGCTGAGCAAATTGTTCGAGAAACTCATTCTCAATCGTTTGCTCAAGTTTGTCGAGGAAAATAACATTCTCCTTCCGGAACAGTTTGGGTTCAGAAAGGGGCACTCCACCAATCACCAGCTAGTGCGGGTGATGAATAACATCCGAAGTAACAAAGCTGTATCCAAGTCCACAGCCATGGCATTGTTAGACGTTGAGAAAGCGTTTGATAATGTCTGGCACAATGGGCTTGTATACAAGCTCTGTAACTTCAACTTTCCATTACATCTGGTTAAAATCACCCGTAACTACCTCCAGCAAAGGTCGTTTAAGGTATCGTTGAATGGTTGTCTCTCAGACACGTTTTCGATCCCAGCAGGAGTCCCGCAAGGTAGTCTGCTGGGCCCCTTGCTTTACAGCATTTACACTTCCGACATTCCTCCCCTCGGTGACGGTTGCGTGTTTTTCCTGTTCGCAGATGATACCGCAATAGCCGTCAAAGGAAGGATGCCTCGCGAAATAACGAACAAACTTCAACGATGCCTTAACGCCTTTGCTGATTATGCCACCACGTGGAAAATCAAAATCAATGCTTCCAAAACACAAACAATCATGTTCCTCCATCGACAATCACCCAAACTAAAACCGGCTCCCTCTTGTACTGTAATCATGGATGGCACAAGGGTTGAGTGGTCCGCCGAAGTAACCTATCTCGGGATGTTGTTTGACGAAAAGCTCCTATTCCGCTCGCATGTGGAGAAAACCGTAGTCAAATGTTCTACCTTGGTTAGGTGTCTGTATCCGCTGATTTGCCGCAGATCCCGCCTCTCAAGGGTGAACAAATTGGCCGTCTACAAACAAATCATAGCACCTGCGATCCTCTATGCAGCTCCGGTGTGGGAATCATGTGCACAGACTCACAGGAACAAAATTCAGGTAGCTCAGAATAGAGTGCTGAGGATGGTTCTTGATCGTCCTTTCGACACTAGAATAACAAATTTACATGAAGAGGCAGGCATTGCCAAAATAGATTCCAAAATTAACGAAATTAAGACTAAATTTGCACAAAAATGTAATTTATCAGAACATGCTTTGATAAGCAATTTGTATATAGTAGGTTAGGTGTACATAGTAGTTGTAGGTTAGTTGTAGTTGTAAATAGTAGTTATAAGTAGTCTCATTTTTCCAATTCAAATCAAACCAATCCCACCAAGGTGGTCATACTTTAAAATAGGCCTGATAGGACTAGGAACTGTAAATAATAATTAAAATCTCAAATGTACTAAAGTTGAAAAGACGCATCTGTGTCACTTAACAAATTCATACATGTAAACCACACAATCACAAGAAATAAAGATCATTTAAATGGCAATAACACTACCGGCCAGTGGGTGTTATACACACATACATAAATTCAGCAATCGACTAAATTTTCAATAGCGACCAAAAATATCCATTAGTACCGTCCCAATGACGCGTTTATCTAGATAAAATTGATAAATAGCAGATTTTTTGCGATGGGCCCAATCTTAAAGCCATAGGCCAACATTAGAGCCATTTACCCTATCACAGTCTTGAAGATTCATCAATCAATCGAATGCTAAAAATTTGAGTCGGATCTCAATTAATTCAATTTCAAAATGTCAATAACAATCTCAAACTTTATTCCTTCTGTTTTGAAAATTCGTGTTCCAGTAGCGTTAACAGACATCGAAAAATGTCTATGAAATTTAAAATTTCAGAGAAAAGCTTTCGAGACTACGCACCTAAAGAATGTAAATTCTAGTAGGCAGGTACCTACCTAAAGTTGCTAAAAGTTTCAAGATTCTCAAATGCCGAAATAAAAAAAAAATCTGAAAATTTATTAAGCTACTGTAGCATTCTTTCTCCACACTACAACGTGATCAGAAGCAGTGAAGACATATGAAGACATTTATTCGATCAAGTTGAGCATGAGCATGAGCATGGTTGACCGCCCACGGTTGCTACTCTGTTATTGCCAAATCAGCTGCAATTACTCACACTCAAAATAATTGTCACGTCAAAGTTACGTGAAAAATCACGTAAATCTAAAAAATTATTAATGGTTGTGAGGCTATCTGACACAGGTAGAATTTTCTTGTTAGCATCTGATTTTTATTTGAAACACATTTCACATCCACCTTGTTAACCGATAACACTTACGTGAAAACATCAAAAATAACCAACATGTGCACCGTATAAAACGCACAGCAAGAGCTGTTAAGTGATTTAGAGATCGCCGGTCATTAGTTGCAGATTTTGGACGGTACATTACTTCTTCCGTGTCAAAAATAGGTTTAATACAGATAATTCTAAGCCACTGTGAAATAGTCAATAAGTATTCATTGTCATTATAATAATAAACATTGGACAAAATAACGGCTTTTTTAATCCTGACAACGTTTCAATTGCGTAATTATTAATTATTTATTCATATAGCATTTAATGCTTGAATTAATTGCTATGTAAAAATCAATGCAATTATTGCAACATTTACTTGACTTTTAATCACAGTAATTCTTATAAAGAAGATTAAATTCATCAAAAATTTTATTACTTTTGATTAGATTTTATCATAAATTGTATCATAATTTCATTTAAAATTTACTGAAAGGTTTCATAGATAATTCCAAAAAAAATACGTAATATTTACGTGAAACTCCGTTGGAAAGGGTGGGAATGGATGCGTTCTTCGCTACATGAAAATCACGTAAATGTCATGTGAAAAGTGCGATGGAAAAAATCCACATATGTTTTCACGTAGCTTTGACGTGAAAATTATTTTGAGTGCAGAGATCCAATAGACGTTGCTTGGGGCTAGCATTCATCCTCAATGTGTCAATAATCTAAAACTAGGCAATACCAGCGCCAGCCACATCCGAATGCTGGTCAAGAAAGGAGTGGGTAGGAATATGTTGACGTAATACATGCTTCAATGAAAGCCTAGAACACCTCTGCACTTCCACGACATATTACTGGGATTTTGGATAAAAGGTTCGGATTGCAGCATGATTCGTTATCGTAAACGATATGCTGAAGTGATATCCTAACGATTCAATAACGTGAAAGATCGTGGGATTGAACCCACGGCTTTCTGCTCAGTAAGCAAAATCGGTCAAGTTTTCGTTCAACTTGTTGTTATCCCGGCGACCTTACCGACGACGACAACAACTGCTCTTTTTTTTCTTTGATTTGTTTTCCGTCGATATTGTTTTCCGTGCTGAGCACCAATGCTACCGACGCCAGGGAGGCAGCTCCCACACCTAGACCCTACCTATCGACCCATCAACTCATGAACCGGGGACCAACGGTTTTACGAAGGAAAGCGTGATCAGAGATGTTATGCCTCAGAACATCCCGGCAGCGTCGACTATGATCGAATCCAGGCCTGCTGGGGTGAGAGGCAATCACACTTACCACTACACCACCAGCGCCGCTGACAACTGTTCTTGAGAAGGATTTGTTTTCAAATGTTACGCAAGCTATTCTAATATAGTTTGTAATATTTTAATTACCATCGTTTAGAGCCTAATGAAACAGTTTTGAGTCCTCGCAAACCCAAGGCAAAATCATAAACATTTCAAATATGATTTGATGAGCCATCATCATTTAAATTAATAACTGATTCCTCTTTTACTCGTCATTTTAAACTGCATCATATTTGCAATTACCGGAGAAAAAAAAACGAACCGCCGCTTGGCACCCAATATTTTCCGGCCTCAATGTTTGCAAATTTAATGGAACACGCACCTCGACTCGCTCACGCAATGAAAAAAAATGAAAATCAGACGGGAAAAAGTCTAACATGATCACTCATAAATTTTGATCGAATAAATATAAAATATGCTATCGCATGATGCATGGTGGTACGCACCATGAATCAAAAAATAAAAAAGCGAAACTAACCAAAAGTATTTCAACCATCTGTTCTTCCTTTTCTTCTTTCTCGCTCTCTGATTGCAGTGCCACCGAAGGGGGCGTACGGAACCGGGGCAGGGTACGGTTCCGGTGCCGGAGGAGTGTACGGACCCGGAACAAATATCGGAACGGGTCCCGGCGGAAGCAGCCTGGAGAAGGCACGCAACACTCAGATGCCAGCGTCAATTCCGTCGCGGCAACCGCCCCACTGGATACGGAACAGCAACGGGGCATCGCGCACATGGCACGGCCGAGGGGCCACCGTGTTTGTGGCGCTCGGGTCGATTCTCCCGGCGTCACGGTGGAGCGGGATGGTGGCCCTTGCGAGCAGCAGTTGTTTGCTGATGATTTATAGTCTGTTGATGCTGCTGACATTTACATGAAATTATGTCTACTGCTGCTGCGGGGTGTTATCATTATTGTTAGGATGCGTGTGCATATTACCATCATTATAAATACATCTATATCTCTAAACGTACCTATACAGATAAATATACACTTGTAGTTATGCGGTCAAGAGTGCAAGCGGACATGGTGACGAGTACTTTTCACGCTGCAGCTGGGGTGACCCTTTGGAAATGGGTATGTTTGCGGTAAGGTAAGGTCACGGATGTGATGTCATGTTGACATTTGGTCCAGTGCGTGGATTGTATGTCATGTGGATTGATTATTTTGAGCTACTGAGGTGTTTCCAATCACCTTTCAGTAGTGTTGCAACAAACAAGTTTATCTTTACCATATTTCTATTTTCGAGGAAATTGTAACCATACTTTGAAAAGGAATTTTAATAATCTTCATAACCACAATTTGTCAACACAAATTTATGAATGCTGCACTTGCAATTTAATTGTAATTCTACTACAGGTGGCTAGAGTGGCACACCATGAGAACTTCTCTTGTATAACCACGAAAGCTCTGAGACCAACATGTTTTATTAAAATAGTGCGAAGCTTTGCTATTTTGAAAAATAAGGTTGTGCTTTTGGAACAGTTGCAGACCTAGGAGACTATCAAGATTTTGCCTCAGAGCGAAGACATCAAATCAAGAAGACTGGCAACTCTGCCAGAATCCAAGTGACAGATACAGTAGCGCTGCGCTCGAGCGAAGGTGGAAGTACAGCATAGAAAAATGAGTAAATACACAAAGCTTTCTTCTGAGGTTGCAATATTTGCTATAAAATTTGTTCGAAGCATTTACCTTTGCGCAACAGATGACGCGATTGTATCGGTCTCATAGCGGTCGTATGAGAAAATGGAAGAGTTGCCAGTCTTCTTGTATATGTTGTCTTCGCTCAGAGGCAGCTAGTAGCCTATTGATGCAAGTTTAATAAGACGTGGTCAATATATGTTTTCTTTTCCTGAGATTATTTTACAAGATATTTAAGAACCTTTTGCGTCACTTCACAGTTGAGAATTGATAAGTTATGAGGAGCATTAAAATGTTCAAACTGGAGAATCTGATCATAATTGATATAAAGTAATGAGTATGTTGTACGCTTATCACCTGAAACAGATCTCAAAATTCTTAGGCTCTCTGCTGATGAATTTGAAGCTCTGGACCAATTAATAACTTATTCCTCAGTAAAATAAAAGCATGGTTTCAGGACTGATAAAAGCTCTTATATTAATGCAGTAGCCTGTTACTGTTCCAAGTAACGTCACGCTCAGCTGAAAGATTTTTTCCCGCAAAGCAGTTTACTACCAAAGACCGATTGAATAATTGCACAATTAATCATATCATCTGCCCATTTTTTACAGAAATGACGCCGTTCCGCTGGTAGGAGGTAATGAAAATCCCCATATATAAATTATATCCCGGATATTATTGTTAAACAAGCTACAATTAAATAAAAATAGTATTTTCTCATATATTTTTTACCAGCCCCACGAGAGTCTAAAAATTCAAATCCAAGAGCGAAAATTTTCTCTTACGAGCTCAATATCTCAACATGCCATGTATATTGAGTCCACACAATATGTGATTTCACTTTCACGGACTTCGAGATATAGTGCCTAGCCGTGAAAAAATGTGGGAACCCTTATTAATGCAATCAGATTTTCGATACAGGGGCGGGGCTTGGAAAGTATTGTTGTCGTAGAATATGTAAGAATGGAGGGTCTCTGAAGGTGGATCTAACTGCATATTTAAAGGCACCATACATGTTCTGACCGTACTGCCCTCTGTTGACAATCAACGGAACTAAGTGTAAGCGTAATTTGCAACAGATGTCACCATTAAGAACAGCAGTGAAATCTGAAGTTTAACAAGACGAGGTCAGTATATGTTTTCTTTCCCTGAGATTATTTTACAAGATATTTAAGAACCTTTTGCGTCACTTCACAGTTGAGAATTGGTAAGTTATGAGGAGCATTAAAATGTTCAAACTGGAGAAACTGATCATAATTGATATAAAGTAATGAGTGTGTTGTACGGTTATCACCTGAAACAGATGTCAAAATTCTTAGGCTCTCTGCTGATGAATTTGAAGGGCATGGTAACACGATTAATTGACAATTTTGTATTATATATGATAATAAATCAAACATTTCAGGTAGATGTATAAACTGATTGATTACTAATGAGGAACTGTTTAGATCAGTGTGACTTTATTCAAGATTCCGAGTTTGATTACGTGAATAAAGGGGAACAGAAAAATGCTACGCACGGCTTCTTTCAGACTCGCGATCTCATCAGCAAGAGACCTTATTCATTTAAACAACTTTGATGAATATCGCAACAACCAGAGACGATTTTTAATAAGAGACGCGCGAAGGCTGAAGCCAAAAGTTCCAATCGAACCGTCAAATGCGGTTCCCATCGAGCAATGTAAATAAACACGAGCGCTTCGCGAGGAAAGTATTGAGATTGCGAATGAAATTTTATTTTTGAGATTTAAATAATTATAATTAAGTTTGCTTATGAAAAGCGCAATCGGATGCTCTTTGACTTTTGGAATCTTGAGATTATTTTTTATATTTACATCAATGTCAAAAAGCAAATATTTTTTAAAAATTACAAAGCCGCCGATCGACTGTCAAGTTTTTTATCACTGGATTTGTATGGCTGATTAATACAAAGTCAGAACATTTTGAACCTATGATCTAGTTATACATAGCATCATCAAGGTAGATAATCGGGCTGGAATATTATTGTTATTCACCAGCTGTATTCTCGTTATATTATCAAAAAATATGCGATTCAGTGTAACGGAAAACATAAACACAGGCCCTGTAACGTTGGTCAAGGCGTTTCTGGTGTAATCTGTCATGATAGTGAATTTGGGGCAAAATGCATAAAAATGAATTTTTCGATTACTTTTTAAAGGGACGTATCTGCTTTTGTAAACAATGCATTTGATAGTCAGTTTTGTGTAACTGGTAGGTCACCCACGGTAGTGTTTGCATGCGTGGGCGAGCTACCAGTTAAGCCAAATTGACGAGCAAATGCATTGTTTTTAAAAGCAGATACGTCCATTCGAAAAAGAAATCGAGATTTCGTTCATACAGAGTAGGAAGCATGAATCCACATAACATATGTGTAACTCAATCATCAAAAATCGACCACATATCAGTAATTTCTAGTGGTATAGTAGACCATCGATCTTTCAAATTGATTATACCAGCTGTAAAATGAGAAAAGAGATCAAGGGGGTAGCCGATTCTATTTGAAAAATTATAACCTGGTTTATAATTTTAAACTTTCTCAGCACTTCTGAACTTATGTCCTTATTTTCCCTTAACTATTTATGTACTTTATTTTCAACTATATAAATAGCTTTAACAAACGCATCACAGCAAAAATAAGATTAACGTTTGCATAAAAAAGTAGACAATTTTTGCCGATTTTTCTATGCAATGACCTGCCACCCAACGATTAATCCTGAAGTTTCATTGTAAGTTACCATTTGTTAACTGTACACAGTCTTCTAACTCTAACTCCAAGAAGGTTTGAAAACAATTGCATCAACCTTTAATTTAATTTGGATTCGTAGGAGGAAAAATTAGACCGCGCAAATTACGAGTTAACTGCACAAAAAGCAGCAAAATTTTGCGGCTTATGCGGAAAATATGCTGACCATCCTTCAAGCACAAGAATTTTGACCTGTAATACCCAAGTATTCAACCCTCGATATGTTTCTCAACTGCGGCCAAATTAACATTTTTGTTCAAATCCGAACACAGAGATCTACTTCAATTACTTTGTACTTAAAACGTGGAAAAGTTGATCGAAAAGCTCAAAGGCGATCCTAACAAGCTTTTTTCGACCACTATGTCTAAGGTTCCAGTCTGAGACTTCCAGTTAGCAGTCTCAAAGTTACCAGGAACGGCTACAGGACCAACAACTGAAACACTTACCTCAGGTTTATTTCTAGCCTTTTTAGGAAAAAAAAATCATTTTTTTAATACAAACGTTAACATCCATAAACAGAATATTTCGTGATGTAATCATAACGTTCACAAGTTGACTTACTAAAAGAACAGTGAACAATTAATCATTTTGTTTGACCATTTTCCACAGAGATGGCGCTGTTCCGCTGGTAGGAAGTGATAAAAATCTCCATATAGAAATTGAGAAAAGTGGGAATAACTCGCATTCGGTGCATATTCAGGTCAAAAAAAGTGAACGACAACCTAATGAAATTAATCAGGGACTTTGTCGTTCAGTTTTTTCCTAGAAATTATTGTTAAACAAGCTACAATTAAATTAAAATGATTTTTCCCCATACAGTTTCAGCTGCTTTACCACCAGTCCCCAGAGAGCCAAAAAATTCAAATTTGAGAGAGAAATTTTCTCTCACGATCTCAATTTCTTAACATGGCATGTATTTTGTTGACACTCGATTTGTGTATTCCCTTTCATAGATTACAAAATAGAGTACCTGACACTACAAAACATGTCTGGTACCTCTAACTATACCAAATGATAGAGGAATCGTTCCTCTACCTCATAGGGTTCTTAGTTTTTGATATTGAGATTTTATTCACGAGAAATCGGCGATTAACGTGTCTTTTTACAAATGCAATTACGCCAAAAATCTCAAATCCCTCCGGATATGTTATGTGATGAATCGAAGTATGCATAATTTTGCGCAACGCTCTGTAAAATAGCACCCGTGGCCACCTTCGCGAATATTTGTCTTTTCTTTTCTCGATCTAAAACGCTTTTGACGGTCCACCGGGACACTCCCACGGCGATTGAAATGTCTTTTTGCGACATTTGTGCGTGGGACAAATCACGAATACGCTGCCACTTCGTCATGGTGCAACTGTCAAACTAAGTAAATCAGTTTCTTTTATACACAGCCTACTACGGTATGAGCTATAGGTCACGTGCATGCAAAAAAAGAACCAAGGCATTGTATGCACAGGTGAAACGGGAACCTTATTTGTACGATGGTGCAAACATTTTCACGCATACGGTATACAGCAAGCGTGTTTTTTAGGGACAGATTGGATCTCCTGTTGATGAGTGGATACAGGGATCTCATCAGGATGTTGCATTTGGTTTTCGTTTTTTCAACGTGTTCCCTGAAAAGCAGCTTGCTGTCGAGTGTACTACCTCTTTGGACCACTCCACCACTGTGCCGTTCAATTTGATCTTATTATTCTTAAACGGATCAAGACTAGGAGATTTGAAATGATGAAAGATTATGACCTGGGTCTTCATCACGTTTATACGGATCTTCCAGCAGTGGAAATAATCAGACAGGTCAGAGCTCCGATGACCCTACCTAATAGATGAGGGATGTGTCATCTGCGACCAGGGAGAATGATGCACCATCAGGGAGAGCCGGCATATCGGAGGTGAACAGGTTGAACAAGATGGGTCCACGGATGCTTGTGGAAGATCCGTATCGATGTTGAAGGCTCCGATGTATCGTTGCAATTTTTAGGCCATGCCATAGTGCCAGACATTGTTGAACGCTTTTTCAACGTCCAACAATGCCATGGCAGATGTTTAGGATACAGATTTGTTCCATCTGAGAATGTTTGTCACTCGAGTCAGCTGGTGAACACTCGAGCGACCTTTACGGAAGCCAAACTGTTCCTTGAGCAACAAGTTGTTTTCATCGGCAGATGCCAGGAGTCGGTAAAAGACTGCCCTTTCGAACAACTTAGATAACTCCGACAGAAGACTGATGGATCGGTAACTTGAAGGAGAGGACGGATCTTTCCCAGGCTTCCGAATGGGGATAAGTTTAGTTGATTTCCAGCACGAGGGGAAGTAGCCAAGTCTAAGGCACTGTTTAAAAATCAGTGCCAGTTGATTGAAGAATGTGGAACTCAAGTGGTTGAGTACCAGATTCAGAATTTGGTCAAAGCCTGGGGCCTTCATGTTTTTAGATGATTTGATATAGGTCAACAGTTCATCAGCCGTAATCTTGGATTCCACAAGAAAATTGTTGGGAATTTGATGGAGGTTGGCTGCATTTTCATCAACCGCAGTCTCGTTTAGACTAGCATCAGTCTTCTCTTCAAGGGTTATCAGATGGGCGACTGAACATTGAGCTGATTCAACGGCACAAGTGGTGGAATAGGCTGTGGCTTATTTTTAAGGATTTTTGTTAGTTTCCAAAAGGGTTTGGCTCAATCTGGGCGAGAACGCAACTTGCCACTAAAGTCCTCATTTCTGAGGTCCACCATTTTGGCTTGAATAATTTTTGTTAGGCGGTTGCAAAGGGACTTCATGGTGGTCAGTCCATTGCGTTGGTACTGCCTACGCAAGGAATTACGAAGTCTTATATTGTTTAAGCGGGTTTATCAAGGTTCAGAGTATTGCTCACCGGTCTGGAAATTGGAACGTGTTGCTCCCTGGCTCGGGATATCGCCTCCTCTATAGAATTCAGGCATCAGTCACCGTCTTTGGGGGTGTCCGGATGTTCCTCGTAGTCGACAGCAGTGTCGACGCAGCGATGGAACTGTTCCCAGCTAACGCGATGGTAGTTGCACTGGGATGCTTGGACCTGTTAGCAGAGAAGCCTATCACCGCATAGTGGTCCGAGCTCATCCGCAGGTTGAGAGATGCTGTGGACCATATTGCTGATGAAGATTTCGATGGTTGCATCCACTCAGCCGGGTGGGAGTGGGAAGCTTGATGTTTGGCATTTAGGTCGCCAGTGATGATGAAGTTCCCGCACCTACGGGTGAGTTTGATGATATCTTACCGGAGAGCCACTGACGACCCGTCTCTGTTGTTGGTTTGCTTAAGACAGTTGTTCACGATGATGGTGTTTGGGCCAAGTGATGTGCTAA